ACGCGTTTCTCTTTTTTGTAGATCGGACGTGGCTTGTCTCTCCAAATAAGACATGATCATGTCTATACAGCGCGATGTATCGTTCGGAGGATTTAGCCCATATTTCTTGGCTTCTTCTTGTAGCTCACTCACAGATAACTTTTCTAACTGCTGCCGATCCATATTTTCTTGAATACCGACGACTGATCTTCATAAACTGGCGGGAGACGCTCGAGAATATTCGAGACGTATCAAATGGCGGTTGACCGTTGCACTCAAAATGGCGGGGAAACCGTTCGAGAACGTTCGAGACGTAACTTCACACACGCGAATATATGTTTCTTTGCAGCGTGGCAGACCGATATCACTGGTCGCCGATCCACAATTATCAATGTTTTTTAACGTCGTTACGACGGGATAACGTCTTTCACAAGATATTACGATAACGATAACGGTCGTTGACCCGAATATTTTCCACGGGATAACTGGCCAGAAATACCGCACCCGAATATCTATTACAGCCTTGCACGCTGTACTTTACTCGCTCGAGCAAAGGAATGAGGACAAAAGGAAAAAGGGAAATCGGTAGCAAGCCGGATCGTTCTACGATAATGGCGGCATACGATGAGAATCGGTAGCAAGCCGGATCGTTCACGATAATGGCGGTACACGATGAGTATCCCACTTCTGAACTGTAAAGAGTTTATATGGTTGTGTGTTCTTATTCGACGCACCGTATTTTACGGCACTGACCGCGATATGTGTTGCGGGGAGATGTCAGGATAAGGATGGTAGTAGGTGAAAGACGATTTTTGATATATTGAAGGAACAAGGTAACTTTTATTACTCGATAGTTGCACAACGACGCGTACGTGACTAGCGTCCAACAACGACTGACTCCTCTCACTGTTCTTTCTCACTCTCCGCCAATCCAGGCGTTTCTTCCTGCGCAGAGGGCTACGGCGCAACTCAGTACTTCAAGCGACCAATCACACCTTACGGTCTACTCAAGCACGGCACAAATAATCTTACAGTTCGGCCATTCTGCGAATACATTCGTCCCGAATGTCTTAACGGAAATTAATTCTCAAAAACAAAATAAAATATACCCTAGTAATATAATTTCAATACAACTTAAACTATTCGCACAAATCCTTACTTATTCTTTAACATAAATCATAGTATTATTATTATTAATTATTCAAACTTTCATTTTTTAAACATAGTAATCTTAAACTTAATGCACGCAAAACTTAAACTATTTTAAACTTATGATTATCGCATAAAACAACACTTTTTATTATCTTTATTCCAAAATTTTTATGGCTCTGGTTGTTTTATCCAATATTTTATTTTATCTGGGGAAAGTATAGAGTTATAAGGCCTGGAGGTCACATTAAAACCTGGAATATCTTGAATCATATATCTATTATTATTTAAGGCCTTTGTAACCATATACGGACCCTTATAACATGGCTTTAATTTCTTATCTTCTCCGGGTTTTACCGCAGTATCTCTTATCATAACGTAATCTCCCTCTTTATACTGAATTGGTTTTTTATATTGTTTATCATAATTGGCTTTATTATAATCTTTTATTTCATCAGTCATTTCTACAGCTAATTCATTAGCGATATCTTGTTCATCCGATACTTTTAATTCAATTTCTGCTAATTGAGTTAAATTTTTAACCAACTCATTATCCGAGTGACTACGTTGCTCATAACCAAAAAGTAATTTTGAAGGAGAAGCCTTCACTGAAGAATGAACTGTATTGTTTATCACAAACTGGATAGATCCAACCGCGGAACTCCATGATTGTTGTTCCCCAACAATTCTTTCAAGAGATGCTTTTAAAAATCTATTAACTCTCTCTACTATGCTGTTTGCCCATGTAGCATCAACAGCAACTTGATGATGTTTAATATTATGAATTTGCATAACTTCTGAAAATTTATTCGAAGCAAATGCTGTACCTTTATCCGATACTAAAATATTTGGATTTCCAAATGTGTTAAACAATAGTTCCATATGTTTGATAATTTCTTTTGTACTGGTAGATTTGACAGGAAACAACCAAGTAAATCGCGTAAACGCATCTACTATTACCAAAATATGCTTGTATCCCTCAACTGACTCTGATATTGGGCCAAAAAGGTTCGTATGCCAAATTTGACACGGGGATTTAAGGTTATCTACTAATTGTAATTCGCCCTCGCGAGTACTAATAGTCGCATTTGTCATCATACAAGTCAAACAGTTATCTATATAATCTATCACTTTTATTCGTAAAGAAGGACACCAATAATTCTCATATATACCTTGGAAAGTTTTGTTAACGTTGCAATGCGCCTTATCATCATGATATACCCGAATAATGTTATTTATCATAACTTCTGGAATTACAAATCTAGGTTTATCCTTTCCTTTATGAAAGACAAGTCCATCTATTAATGTAAATTTTTCGTTATCCTCAACTTCTAATTTTTCCGCAATATTCTTTAATTTAATATCTCGCAACTGCTTATATTCTAGCTCTCTTTCAAGAGGCATTGGTTCTATATACGCAACCTCATTATCATTATCCTCAAACTCTAATTCTTGTTTATTTGATTCATTACAATTAGTATCGACATCTTGCAATAATGACAGTATATCTTCAGATTTATCTTTAATTTCTTCTGTAGTAGCTACTTCTTGAAATAATCGAATTTGATTATCAACTTCAATATCAGATGGTTTACATAAAATTGAAATATTATTCTCTTTAAAGAAATCTAAACCAATAATTAAATCAAAAGAAAATGAGTCATTATCCAATACCAATAAAGAAATTGACGCTTTTAAATTTGGTAATAAATCCAGAGAAATTACCGTTTGAGCAGATCCTAATATATTAACAAAAGTATTATTCACCGCTTTATATCGTTTTATTTTCTCACTCTTTTCTAAATCGACTTTTATAAATTTTGCAAAAATCGAAGACTTAATAAACGAAACGGGACTTCCGGTATCTAACAACGCATTCAACTTACATGGAATTTCATTCACCGAAGTTACAATAATACGCGCATCAGGAATTTCTAACTTCCTACCGAAATCTTCATTCACTGTCGCAATCTCCATCTCCTGAACGTCTTCTTCCACTGCAGATACCACTGATGCTGGTTTGGCAGTTACCACAGGTGGTGATTGCTCTTTCTTTTTTAACTTGTAACAGTCAGCTCGGACATGACCTTTTGCCCGGCAATAAACACAAAACACATCTTTGTCCGATTTTGACACTGAGCTATATTTAGGAACCGTGTCCTCACTATTTTTCACCTTATCATTCTTGATCTCTTGCTGATGAATCTTCCGAGTGGGCTCGGCCGACACCGATGTTATCCGGTGCATTTCTTCCAGGAACTCATCGACTGTTGCACAATGAAACACCGCTGCTGTTTCTCTCAACGATCGGCTTCCGATACCATTAATAAGTAGATGAATGGCATCTTCTTCTGGCAAGTTTAGATTTTTCATCAGCACTAATTTGTCCATGGCGTAATCTTGGAATTGCTCTTTTGGAAAATTCCATCTTCTTGCTTCAACTTTTTGCATAGCCACATGAAACAATATCTTCCTTTTAAATCGACGTATTATGGCTTCTTTAAATATCTGCCATGATTCGATCAACGTTGTTACATTGAGATCAAACCATCTTTTGGCATTTTTGACGAGCTTACTAGAAGCTGCTAAGAGTAACACATCATCCGAAACTGCATGGATTTGTGCAATTCTCTCTCCAGTCTGAATCCATATTTCTATCTTCTCTTCTTCTGTTCCGGCAAATTCAGGAATTTGAGTCGTCAACAATTTAACAGCATGTGCAGTTGCTACTGACGAAATTGGCTGGCGACGTGTAATTGAACTATCCGGATCCGCACGTATAACATTGTCTTCACTTGTAATATTACGTATTCCATTTTGAGAGTTCTCACGAGACAAATTAGTTAACTCGACCATCTGTTGCATCATAGCTTGATTTTGCCGCTGCTGTTCCTGTTGGTTTCGAGCTTGTTCTCGTTGAAACTCTTGCTGAATAAGTGTTTGTTCTTGTTGGATACGCCTTTGCTCTTGCTTATCTTCTTGTTGGATACGCCTTTGCTCTTGCTTATCTTCTTGTTGGATACGCATTTGCTCTTGCTGAAATCGCATTTGCTCTTGCTGGAAACGCCTTTGTTCTTGCTTATCTTCCTGCTGAATACGCATTTGTTGTGCCATCCAAGCACAGATTTGAGATAAATCGGATGATTCTGTCGGCGTCGTCGCTGCGACTGTTGATTGCATCGCCTTACTT